AAACATGTTAAAACAGAAAACATGTTAAAACTGGAAACATGTTAAACCAGTAAACGTGTTAAAACAGGAAACATGTTAAAACAGCAAACATGTTAAAACAGCAAACATGTTAAAACAGAAAACATGTTAAAACTGGAAACATGTTAAACCAGTAAACGTGTTAAAACAGGAAACATGTTAAANACATGTTAAAACAGCAAACATGTTAAAACAGAAAACATGTTAAAACTGGAAACATGTTAAACCAGTAAACGTGTTAAAACAGGAAACATGTTAAACCAGTAAACATGTTAAACCAGTAAACGTGTTAAAACAGCAAACATGTTAAAACAGGAAACGTGTTAAAACAGGAAACATGTTAAAACAGGAAACATGTTAAAACACGACTCTCCTGGGTTCAATGTACGAATTAAAACACAAAGTGTGAGATTGACTGAAGAACACTGAGGTTTGAGGCAGTCGGAGCCTCTGGTCTTCATCATCCTCTACATTTACCCTGAGAGGAGACGAACTTTCTTCTTTAGAAAGTTTTTCTGACTCTTCTCTTTGCTGGAACGTTTATTTCTTACTCATTTAATCATTTCATCTCTCACGAAACAACGGTCATAGATCAGCTGAGCAAACTAATGTGACGATTAAATAATGAACCTTTTGATTGTAGATAATAAAACACAACATGAAAGCAAATAAAACTCAAAGAACTGTTGAGGCAAAAATCATCGTCAGCGTCATTAAGAAAAACCCTGAATGGTTTTTATTGTTTGATGTTCGATGGGGGCGCGGTGGAGCAGCGGGTCGTACCGATGCCTCCAAGCAGAACGTTTTCGGGTTCAGTTCTCAGGTTGACTCCAGCGTTTCGTCTGCACGACTTCCTGCCACAGTCCGAACACGCTGCTGAGGGTTCTAATGTTCTGACCCTGCGGCCGTTTACACTGGTGACCTGTGCACCAGCTCTGACCCAGAGTCAGCTTCAGAAACCTCCTGAAGACAAGTGGTGGAGCTGATGGAGCCAAACAGGTCCTGCCTGAGTTAAACCAGGAAGATCCATCACATCCATCCATCCATCCATCTGTACATCTGTCCATCCATCACATCCATCCATCTGTCCGTCCATCCATCCATCAGTCCATCCATCTGTCCATCCGTACATCCATCCATCTGTCCGTCCATCCAACCATCACATCCATCCATCCATCCATCCATCCATCCATCTATACATCCATCCATCAGTCCATCCATCCATCCATCCACCTGTACATCCATCCATCCAGCCATCTATACATCCATCCAACCATGCATCTATACATCCAACCATCCGTTCATCCATCCATCCATCCATCAGTCCACACATCCATCTATCCATCCATCTGTCCATGCACGCATCTGTACATCCATCCATCCATCTATACATCTATACATCCATCCATCAGTCTATCCATCCAACCATGGATCTATACATCCATCCATCTGTCCATCCATACAACTATACATCCATCCATCCAACCATCTATACATCCATCCATCATTCCACGCATCCATCCATACATCTATACATCCATCTACCCGCCCACCCATCCATCAGTCCACACATCCATCCATCTGTACATCCATCTTTACATCCATCTATCCATCCATCCATCAGTCCACACATCCATCCATCTGTACATCCATCTTTACATCCATCTATCCATCCATCCATCAGTCCACACATCCATCCATCTTTACATCCATCTTTACATCCATCCATCCATCCATCCATCCATCCATGCAAACATCCATTATTTATACCATTCATCATACGCTCATACAAGAGGGCTCATTCTGCACAGGTCACAAGTGTATCAGAAGCCCCTCCCACTCACATATATCTAAGTCTCTAATGAACCAAGACCCCGTGTGAACCGGGATTCAAACCGGTGACCTCAGTGTGAGGCGACCGTGGTCACTGCTTATGTGCTTCAGACTCATGCTTCGTGCCGAGGAGACCAGAACTCACATATAGAAATTCTGAACTGGAGCAGAAAGTATTGTGTTCGTGCAGGATCCAGTTTCTTAATGGAACAAGTTAATTGAGACGTCGGGTTTTCGGGGGCTTTTAAAAAAAAAAAAAGATTAGAACAAAGACGAGATCATCAGAGAGTTTTACATTTAAAGAGAGAGAGAGAGAAAGCTGAGGTGCTCTTCTCATCAAGGAAACAGGACGAACCACTGATGAACAGAACAAAACCTCTGCAGGAGAAAAGATATGATATAGAAAATAATGTGATCATTATATTATTAATAATAATGGAGAGAAGAAGCAGGCGGCCTCTGCAAACTGTGGAGTATTTAATAAAGGAATCAAGCTCCGCTCCGAACGTGTGGTTGCTCTTCTTATTGTTATCCAAGAAATAAATGCATCAGGATTCTAATATAACATTATGAGACTTTTATTCTCACAGTTTTATCGTCACGCTGTAAAATGAGAAGGAGACGGAGGAGTTTCTTTTCATTTCACCGTGACGTCGCACATCTGAGGTCGTTCACGCTCCACTGGTCTCTTGTGTTTGTGCAGATCCTGGGTCTGGTCTTCTCCATGACGATGTTCTGTCAGGCAGTGAAAGTAGAAACCTTCTACGCCTAGCGACTGACCTCTCTGACCTCCAGCACACTTGGATTGTTTCTCCTCAGAGAGCGACGGACCCACCCCCCTCCTCCTCCTCCTCCTCCTCCTCCTCCTCGACAGACTCTTCTTTTCAAACACTCGTCCTCTCCGTGACATTCGCTCTCGGGTGTCCCCTGTTCACAGTTCCTCCTCTAACTATCAACAAGCACAGTGTCAGTGTGATACCTGAGTTGGTTGCTATGGTTTGCTCTGTGTCGGAAAAAAAAAAAGCTAATTTCTGTGATACATTTTATGACGCTGTATTATGAACATGTATAAAAGCAAACGTGTGTAACCCCTTTTTTAAAATGTGTTTTGTTTTAAATTATTTCACGGTTTGTAATTGTCTTCAAAACGAGAGCTACAGACGGGCAGAGCTGTGTGAAGTGCTGCAAGTGCATGTCTCCTGCGATGGTGTGTATTAAATGTTTTGGCTCGACTAAACGGCGTCGCACGTCATCTTGTCATTTCTCAACGGGGAACACTGAAGGGTTTTATGTGTAATCCTGCTGTAATTACGTCTGACACCGTGAATGACAAATAGGAGTGATGGGGAATATCTGCCAGGAACCAGGATGTAAAAGCGTTAGCGTCGTTCCCGCTGCCGAGACACGATGGAGTCATTAAAATATTTTGTAGCACCTAACTAATCAGGCATTAATTAGTGAATGAAACTAACCACTTTATGGCTTCACGCACTGCGGAGCATGTGGCTTTTTTACTGGGTGGATTTACACGGGACACGATGATTGCACCAACTACAATGAGAAGATTCTGTCGGAGGAATTTAAATGAACAGTATCCTCCAGACTGGCCCGGGGCTATTTCCCCCGCAGCACCAATCACGTCTCCAATGACCGAGATTCATCCGCAGGCTTTGGAAACATCCTCTGACCCTTTTGCCTCCTTAAGTTCCTTCCTTTTCTTTTTCCCCTCTACCTTGTGCCGTCAGGTACAATCCAGGCTATGAGTACAGCGGAAACGCACTTTGATTAAATAGCTCCCGGGGATAAATGGTTTAGAAGATAAGAGAAGAGCTGGTTTTCAGATGCGGTTTGAGGTCCGTGAGCTGCAGGTGATGGAACTCTTTCTGCATTTGTTGGGATTTTTCTTCCTTCGCTTCCTTTTCTCTGCCTTAAACTAATCTTGGACCTGAGAGAGCAGAAGTCCCAGAGCGATCGGATCCGTGGAAAACGTTTTAAACGTTTTCATGCTGACGAGAGGAGAAGAAATTACAGACGACAGTCAGGTGAAGCTTCAACACGTGTGTTTGTTGGTAAAGAGATAGAGATGAAGTTTATTGATCCAGATTGGGAAATGATTGTGTTACAGCAGTGTGTCACGCAGGGAAGTAGAAAATAAAACGGACAAGAAGAATTCAAATAAATCAAAATAGAACGTGGTAAACAAGTAAAATGATACACAATCAAGTACTAGAATACAAAGTAAAGTACTAAATATAATAGAACAACGAATACGCCTATAAACACAAGAGACTAAATACAAGAGATGAGTAAGAGACAAGATTCCTGGGTTTGTTTGGATCTGTGTTAAAAATGTGATGGACCCGTGTCCCAACCTTCCACCGAGATGAGAGGAGATCCAGTCAGTGGAGTTTAATCCTGCAGCCAAACAAACAAAGAAACACGCAGGGGTACAAACGTAACCTCAACGCTGGAGGTCAGAAACGTAAACTCTGAAAAGAAAAACAGTCAAAGACGAGAATATTAGAAAAAGACTCGACAAAAAAACTCACGTTTCAGTGAAAGGAAACAGCTGAAGGCAGCGATCTTTGCAGGACTGAAGACTTTTTGACTCCAAAGATCTGATCCCTGATTGTGCTGCTGTCTGGAAGATTTCTGGTTTCTGTCGTTCATCAGCCATGTTTGAGCAGGTTCGGTTTCCCGCAGACAAACAGTCCGTGTGTGAAACAATTCGCTTTTAAATGAGCTTTAAATGGAGATTAGACCCCAAACACCGACAGAAAGAAACATTCAGCTCGTGTGAAAAACTGACTCCTGGCCTCGAGATCCACTGGCGTCACCCCCAGAGGCTCCTCGCCAGACGATGAGCTCAGAGACCGTCAACACCTCAGATTATCTTTATTTGGACATTCGGGTGAAAATAAATCTTTTATTTCCTCCTTAATCTGTGATTAAACTGGATTCTAGAAGAAACTCAAAAGCCGAGGTTGTGGAGCTGTGTGGGGAAATGTTGAACATGAAAATCAGGAGACGCCGCTCTGTGTGATGGAGAAATGACTCTGACGCTGCTGCAGCTAAAAAAATATTCAGAACATGCGTGAAACTGAAACCGAAGATGTTGAAGCGTCAATGTCACCGAGTGAATTTAGTTGAGAGGCTCCCGTCACCGGTGACTGAGAGCATCATCGTCAGTCGCTGACAGTCGAACGCCGCTGAAACAATCACACGGTGACGAGTGCAGCAACAAGCAGCTCGGCTCCTTTCACAACACACGGCTGCTCTGAAGGTGTTTCCAGGAATCCTCGAGAGCAAAGTAAAGTAAAGAGGCTTCATCGGTCTCTGTGCAGGATACAACCACATTCCTGAGGTGACTCGCAGCAATCAGCAAAAAGACTGTTGGCATAAAAATGAGAGAACGAGAAAAACAATGATATATTGTGTAGATGTGTTCACACGGACTCGTCTCAGACTCGTACGAACTTTTCAATCTGTGCACGTTAGTGATGTGTGTTGCAACAGGAGAGCAGAGTTTGGTGTCGATGATCAGGTTGATGTGATGAAGAGTGATGAGCTGATGTCTTTACCCTGCGATGGGGGGGGATGGGAAATCTCTGCAGCTTAAATAGACCTGGCAGGTCACGTGGTCAGAGCAGAGCCTGGACGAGCGAGTGTCGCTCCAGTAGAAACATGTTCCGCCGAGCGACTGACCTCCAGCACACGTGGATTGTACCTCCTCCTCCTCCTCCTCCTCCTCCGTGTCCCCTGTTCACAGCTCCTCCTCTGACTATCAGCTGACACAGTGTGATACCTGCTGCTCTTCACTGAGATCTGAACCTGAAGACGTTGGAGAACAACCGAGTGATTCCACAAACATTTCAACGTGTTTGTTTGTACGTGAACAAGATGACACAAGAAGCATTTCACAGATTTCTACCCGACCTGGTGGACGGACGTGTTCTGACTCAGGAGAGAAGTTTCTTCTGTGACGTGAAGCATTAATGATAAGAGAGTGAATTTAAAACTGTTTGGCCTTGAACGAGCTCTGAGCTCACAGTCATTCTACTTGGTTTATTTATTTATTTGGTTTTTTTTGTCAGCGTGATTTGGCAAAAACTACAGAATGGATTTCGGAGATCGGGCGGCTTCGATGTTTTCAGAGTATAATTGATGAAACTTGATGAAACATTGAAACATGAAATTTAAGAGATAAAAACACTGTTGTTCCTTTCGTCATGACCGCGTCCGAGAAAAGATGTTTTGCGGTCAGTGAATGTGCGTCACACCGCTCATATCGAGGTCTTTCATATTTTCATACATGTCGATATGTTCCACAATTCTTTGTCACGTTCATGTCGGCAGCACGACACTGGATCTGTTCCCAGCATGCACTTGGTGACACGCAGTTCAGACCCGACCACAGACACGTCGCAACATTTACGCTCGTTCACACTTTCTATCATTATTCACGCAGCACAGCCTCGTTCCAAGTCAACATCTGCCTCTGACGTTAAACTAAACCTGCCGTCCAACTCTCTGAGAGGAATTCAGCCCACAGAAGGTTGTTTTCTTTAACGTTCAGATGAATTTCCAATTTTAGAAAAACTGGACGTGCGACAGCAACATTTAGTGAGCGTCTGTGTTTTTTTTTGCATTTTCTCTGCACAACAAGACGGATGTGTTTTATCTCCTCGGCTCACTGACACCAGACCAAGCAGCAGCAGCTCCTCACGTATTGATTCTGGGTGTTTGGTCAGTTATTAGCCACGGACCTTTACACCTTTGTTTTCATGCGGCGCTCTAGACTCTTATTAGGATATAAGTCAAGTTTATTTGTGCAGCGCTCGAACGCATCCCGAGTCTCAAACGGCTTCACAGCAGCTGCGACATGAAGCGACAACAAATGAAAACAATAAATGAAAAAAATGACGAATCTGAGCCTCGGGCCTTCGGGGGAAAGTTACAGCAAATTCCCAGTAAAACCTCATCACACGATGAAGGACACACAATTTAGTCAAACTGACCGGGAACGAGGGAACAGGAGCTTTTCACGGAGCAGATGTTACTGTTCTCTGTGTGTGTACACGTGCACGTGGGTCTGTGAACGTGATCCCAGAGACAGACGACGAGCCGCGAGTACCAGCCGCTGACGTGACCCTAAAAACACAGTGGAAATAATTTATGGAGTCAGAGGACGTCTCGGCCTGGACTGACGCAGGACGGCGTTTCTCATTTTGTGTCTCTCAGTGTGGACGCAGCGTTAGCGGTTCATTTGTTCTTATTATCGAAAATAAATTCTCCGAGAAGAACAGAGAATGTTCACTCTCGTGTGTGTATGTATCAAATAGTTTTTTCTTATTTTGTCTCGTGATCCATCCGGGGTCAGACTAGAAAAACGGCAGCGGGGAGATAAACGGGCCTTGAGAAGAGCGACAAAGCAAAGATGGTGGACGCGCTGGAGGTCGTGACCCTCTCACAGGTGAGTCCGACTCTTCAAACACGAGCTCCAGGGGCCTCGAACGCCTTTAGCTGGAGAATGCGGCCGCTCGAAACACAGCGAACCCTCCGAACCCTCCGAACCCCGGCGTCGCTCCTCGTCCGTCTGCGTCCTCGTCGACTGCAGCTCACCGCTTCACCGGCTTCTTCTCCCTCACCCTCCCCCACCTCCCCCCGTGGGATGCATTATTCATTCTCATGTTCGCGGGCTTTCTCACATCCTGCGCTCGATCAATAAAACATACCTGTGTGCTTGCTCCCTCACCTCTCCACCCGCTCGTCTTGTTCCTGAAGCCAAACTGTGAGTCCACGCTGAGCTGATAAAACAACACGGATGAATGGCTTTTCTCAAACTGGGGAGAAATGACTGCAATTCAGGTTTTCTCCTGTGTGAGTTGTGTCTTCAATTCCCGGTTGGAGGGAGTCATTGTGTTTGTCACTCACTTGGAATGCCCGCCGTCTCCACACTCAAATAATAAAGAAGAAGGAAATCCTGAAGAGGTGTCTTCACAAAAAGAGAGAAAAAGAAAAGCTTAGGAGACACCAGCCTCTCTTCCTCCTCGGCGTCTGAGTGGAGACGAAGCATCGTGCAGAATATTTCCGTCAGGCTCCAGGTTTGACCGACGTCTGCAGGTGGATCAGGGTCTTAACTCAAGGATCTTAGAGATTTTTCAAACAATTCCAAAGGATTTTATAGAACTAAACCTCTCTTCTGTCTCCGTCACCCTCCTCTTCCT